TTTAAACAATGCAGAGTCTGCTCTGATAAGTGCTTACAAAAGGATGCAGCAATTCCGTTTTGGAAACATTCATTCATTCTACTTCAAAAGACAGTCTAGATGTCAGGGCCCACAAATTTCATCTTTTCCATCTGTACATAAAACTCGTGGTAAATTTACACTACACTTAAATGAATTGATGTAGGTTTCGGTTTTTCAGAGCATGTAAATGATACTGAGGCATGGCCAGCAGTCGAAACTTTAAATGGGATTTTATATCGCTCTTTCGAAATTTCGTACATTGGCAATGACTGCGCACAGAGTTTGACTATGGCAAATGAATGACAGTTAAGTGACATAGGTTTGACATAGATCTTAGCAGCTGATTATGTCGCTCAAAACATCCGTCTACTCCGATCCAGATTTTATTTGGCCATCTGCTCCCTTTTTCCCTTTTGGCAAATGCACTCGCTGAATTAAGCAGTCGTACAAAAATAATGTGCATTTGACTCACATTGTTTTAAACATCACAGACATAACGTTTTTTAATCCTCAAATTGACCTTTGAGAACAGCTGATATTATTACTTCTCTAGTGCTCTTATGACTGCTCAACACTGGCTCTCATCTTCTTCTTTGCATTCACAATGCTGTCACCTTAGACTGTAAAAGTTTGAATCTGTAGACTTTGGTCTCTTTAAACGACCCTATGTAATGCATCGCAGTTTACTAAAAACAGAAGTAGAAATGCAGCAACTACCTACCCGTGACGTTGAGGGTGAGGGTATAGAGATCAGTAAGGATGCTAATGGTAATGGTGAGAATGTGAGCAACTCTTCCGAAGCGTTGGCCTACAAATTGGGCAATGGTTTGGGCCCCTGGTGCTTTGGTGCGCAATTCCAAGAGCAGCAACGCAAAGATGGTGTAGACCAGGGCGCCATTGGCCGATACGAATGTGCAACCGACAAGGCCGTACTAAATCCATAAGTATGAGGCAACATTTTTATATTATTCATATTATTCACACGTTATCTACCAATGTCGCTTATATGCAGAACTTGGACTCGGATAGTAAGTGCTTACTGATTGCTTTAAGTCATGTCTCAAAACTGTGGGTTAAGCTTTGTCCTCAAATATTAGGGCAGATGCCAAACTGGTGCTCTGTTACAGCAACCCTATGAGGAGAATAGAGCATCGGGACAGCAGTTTTTTGTTTCCCTGTGAAGTGCCTAAGGACAACTTGTCAACGTGAGTGGGCTAAGCCAACTCTCTATGTGCTTGCATATTTCGCAGTCCTGAATAGAGCGACAATGAGTTGGCAATCACCATTTAACATTGCAATCATTCAGCGGTGGTAATAATTCCGTTTTATCAAAAATATCAAGCAATGTCTTTTGAAGATGTAGCATAGCCTAATACTTTTGCCAAGCGTAATTTG